GTCAACAATTGATATCCAAATTCAAGAGATTTGATACATATATCAGGTTGAATCGTTATGCAATATTTCAAATTAATGCACCAAGTACTTCTTGAGTTATCTTCTCGAAATCGATTGCATTGCTTTTTGTCATGAAAGTTGACTCAAGATCGCCAGTATCTTGAGCGCTTTAACACACTACATTTCCGGAGAATATTAATTATATATTTTTTTGATTTTGAAAAAAAATACTTGATTTTGGACAATGAGTCATCTTTAATGCCAAAACCCAGTTACTAGTCCTTATCATTTGTTTGTAAAACTGTACGCATGCAGTACTGACATGCGTGAAATGTTTTGGTTAAATATGATTGTTTTATTTTGTGTAACAAAATGCTCTGCAACTAGTTCGAGAATACCATAGTCAGTGATAACTCTGTGTTAAGTTAAATTCATATAGACTGTTACTTTGGAGTTGAAAGAAATAAAATGTCAACTGCTTTTCAGGAAACACTGTGTTATTTCCAAACTTGTCTCTCCCATAGTTTTGAATTTCTTGATCCAATCATGGAGGAATAAACAATATAAAAAAAAGAATATTTTATATTTTTTATTCTATTTGATTCTGAAAACAACACTTCAATTTTTCTAACATAAGTTCAGTCAATTTATGTCTCGGGAATGTAAAAAAAAAAGAAAGGGAAGAAAATTAAGTAACAATAAATTAATGTGGGACTCGAACCTCAGTCGCCTGATTGGGAGTCCGACGCCAGTCCACAAGACCATTAACGCGCTCAAATGCTCAACCAGTTCTACTTAATTATAACCGTAAGATAGGCTTATCGTGGCTTTTCACGTTGACGCCCATGCACGCTTAGACGTACATCGCAGCCTGACGATGTAAATCTGCTCGTTTGATTTTGAGTGTAGCTGTTCAAGTTGATCTAAATTTAATTGGAAAAGGATAAAGGGTGTCAACTGAGCTAAAATCCTGAAATTCAATGAAATAAAACTCGTACAATCTTTGGTTTCAGTACGAAACACACGTGTTCAACGGATGCAGAGAAGCCCATTTCTTTTGTTAAATTCCTTTGTTGAATCTTGCGTTAACAATAAAATGTTTCCATTGAGGCGAAAGGATTAAACGCTGCGATCTTTTTTCACGCTTGAGTGCCTCTGAATGGGGAATATTGAAGCGGAAAATCACGAATTTCAGCACTTAGGCAGCATTTTATCCCACATAATGAAACTTTTTGGAGAGGAAATTGCATACTGAATACAACTGTATTTTCAAAATTCAAAAATTCGCCGTATTTAAAAAGTCAAGGTAATTTTTTAGGAAAAATTTCACCAAAACTTTCCTCATCCTAACGTAGGCGGCGCTATATATATTTCATTCTCGCACGTGCACCGTATTCAGAGTTGGCTAGCGCATTAGCGTGTGTGTATGGCATCGCAAGGGATGGGGGCGGGGCTGGCTGCCTATTATGTATACATGTACGGTTTATAACCCTTTTTAAAAACATTTTTCCACTAACAACTTTTAGTAAAAATATTTTGCTTGTTCCCCCCTCCCCCCCCATCTCACACGACAAAACAAAATTCCCGCCCCCTCTTGCTTCATGGGTATACCGGGGCCCTTTTATTAATATCCTTATACGCGTCTCTTTTGTTCCATTAAAGTTGACTTTTATTCTGATTGCATTTTGTTTCACAGACCTTAATTATCTATTGTTTTAGTTGTAGACCTATTCAACTTTTATTGGTGAGATAAATTGAAATTGTGATGCTAGGATAAGATTGGGTACAGTGGATAGCGGGTGATACTCAGATGGGGCGGCGGCTAGCGCGATAACAATGCCCACTGAGAATGAAATATATAAAGCGCCGCCTACGTCAGGATGAGGAAAGTTTGGGTGGAATTTTTCCAAAAAAATTTCGTCGACTTTTTAAATACGGCGAACTTTTGCATTTTAAAACTATAGATGTATTCAGTATGCAATTTCCTCTTCAAAAAGTATCATTATGTGGGATAAAATGCTGCCTGAGTGCTGTAAATCGTGATTTTCCGCTTCAATATTCCCCATTCAGATGCACTCAAGCGTGAAAAAAGATCGCGGCGTTTAATCCTTTCGCCTCAATGGAAACATTTTATTGTTAACGCCAGATTCAACAAAGGAATTTAACAAAAGAAATAGGCTTCTCTGCATCCGTTGAACACGTGTGTCTCAAACTGAAACCAAGGATTGTACGAGTTTTATTTCATTGAATTTCAGGATTTTAGTTCAGTTGACACCCTTTACCCTTTTCCAATTAAATTTAGATCAATTCGAACAGCTACACCCAAAATCTAACGAAGGTTTTACATCGTCAGACTGTGTTTTACGTCTAAGCGTGCATGGGCGTCAACGTGAAAAGCCACGATAAGCCTATCTTACGGTTATGATTTAGCAGAACTACATCAGCATTTGAGCGCGTGAATGGTCTTGTGCACCGGCGTAGGACTCCCAATCACGCGACACAGGTTCGAGTACTACCATAACTATATTGTTACTTAGTTTTTTTTTTTTTACCTTTCCCTAACCTCTTACGGTTATGATAAAGCAGAACTGACGCTTTGTTTAAGCGCGACAATGGCTCGCTGGACCGGCGTAGGATTCCCAATCTGGCGACTCAGGTTCGAGTCCTACCATAGTATTGTTATTTAATTGTCTTCACTTTTTTTTCTTTCCCAAAAATGAATTGACTGAGCTTACTTTTAAACAAATTGAAATTATATTATTCTTTTTTTTTTTTTACCTTCCCAACTTTTTATAGCCCCATGCCCAAACAAACATTTACTAAACTTATCTTTTAAATAAATTGAATTAAGTTTTGTTTTCAGAATCACAAACAAACTACCAAGAAAACAAACAAATCAATAACAAACAGGTATTTTTTTCACTTGTATTTATTGTGATGATTTAATATCTCTTTATTCAAAGAACTATGCACAGCATTTCAACAATCTTTTAAGTACACATTTACTTTTAAAATTCACCTACACAATATTTACACTGCAAGATAAGATTTATTGGACTTGAAGGGAATGTACAACATTTGCTTTTGCTGCAATTTTCAGAAATAAATGGATTTGGAGGATTAGTATGTTATAGCAAATATTGTTAAAAAGACTTTTTTCGCATTTGGGCTTGTAGATGCTGGAAAAGCCAAGAAAACCAGACATGTATTTGCAGTCTGGTGACCCCACTTATAAGATAAAACGGAGCAATTAATAGACTTTGGGGAATTGTAAGGTCAGAGAATCAGTCTAGCAGACTTATACCTCTTCACAGGTGTATAATCAATTGCAAAGAAAATGCGGAATAACTAATTATAAAAAAATTGGGAGAAATTTTTGAAAAATAGCCAGTTTTCTCCAATGCTTGTCGGCTGACCAGCGTTGGAAAAGTACCATTTTCTTTAAAATGTCAGCACATCAGGAGCCACAATTTTAGAGGATGCTTTAGACTGTCATTCCCCAACAATCCAGTAAGGTATTTCGCGATAATTTGATCATTTCGTTTTGTGATGTTTGCAAATGTTGTATCTTCCCTTTAAAGAAAGGCAGTAAACATTTATTGTTTTTACAGATGAAATAAAGAAATGAAGTCAGAATATCACACAATATTGGAAAAGAATGTTGCAACCTGACGCCACTTCAGCGGTTGTGTGCAAAGTCTATGGAGCGTCAAGAAAATTTTCTCTTAAGTATTTCTCAGTCCCAGATTCATGTCTTATCATAGTCATCATTTTTGCAATGAATGACTTCATTGAGATGATATGAAGAAAAAGCAGCATCAGGTTGCAACATTCTTTCCCAATATTGTACATGAAAAAAATATAGTATTGACAATGTGATAGATAGACGGAGAGGCTCTGCTGGCAGAAATTGTGTGCTAAGCAGCGCTATGAAATTGGGCCCAGTTCAAATCACTCATCTTCAATTTGTTTCCTGCCTTCTGGACCTTACACCCTAATTACCTGACAAACGTGCTCTGAAAACTTGTACATGTATATTTATATCAATATAAACCATTAATTAGTATAATTACATTACGTACAGATGACTACCCCCTCCTTGAATAACCATTCCTGGCCCATTCTCATGCCGTTGGCTTGTCTCTAAACAGGCCCCAGAAACTCCAAGAAAAAAACATCGAGTTGTCTTTATTAGCAACAAATTTGTGACGTGATTCATAATTATGATGAGCATTTCAATGCTGCCTGACTGACTGTCTGACCGAGTCACTGAGTATTAACTGATCGAGTCAGTCACTATTATCACTGACTGACCGAGTCACTGACCGAATCACTGACTGCGCGATGAGTCACTGACCAAGTCACTGAGTTGATGACAGCCACTGAGTCGCTCAATGAGTCACTGAGTGATTCCTTAACCGAGTTGCTGACCGAATCAATGACTGAGTCACTGACTGAATCACTGAGTCGCTGATCGAGTCACTGAGTCGCTCACTGAGTCACTGACTGAGTCACTGACCGAATCTGACTGAATCATGGAGTCGCTGATCGAGTCACTGAGTTGTTGACTGAGTCACTGACTGAGTCACTGACTGAATCTGACTGAATCATGGAGTCGCTGATCGAGTCACTGAGTTGTTGACTGAGTCACTGACCAAGTCACTGACTGAGTCACAGAGTCCAGCTTAACTAGGCAAGCCTACTTTGTTTATGCCATGAGAGACTAGCCTCTCTCCAGAACTGTTGTATTTTCCTGCATAACCATCTTGCCAAAGCTAAATAGAGAAATATTTCAAGGCAAATTTCCCATGCGTCAAGAATAATTAAATCACTCTTAATCAACAGTATCGTTCCATTATTTTATTTTTGGAAAATCCCTTTGCAAGCAGGGGTTTTTGGAATGTACAAATTTAAACAATCTCAAGACTAGGATAGGGACCACCTCAGGAAACTGGTACCCTGTTGTCCTTGGCCCACTTCTTCATGACACGGATGATGTATTCCACCTGTGGGTTACCGGTGTTGCGCAAGATTTGGAGGATGTCTCGCAGTGTTTCTCTGTAGAGGAAAAAAATGACAAAAATCTAGTGGCTTGAACTTCACTGGGTTTTGTGCACATGAAAATGAAAGCTATTAACAAGATGGACTTTGCGTCGGGGTGATGTAAATCAATGTTAGGTTTTGCCCTTCACCGATGTATAAACACTGTATACTCAGTGTGTTACCTCCCGAGTGAAAGTTGGAAAAATAATCACTTGGGTGGGATTCGAACCCACGACTCGACCATCAAGCTTACGGGGTTGGTTGGCTGGCCAGGCAACCAATTCTGTAAGCTCGGTGGTCCAGTGGTAAGATGTCTGCACTAGAAAGCAGGAGGTCATGGGTTCGAGTCCCAACCGAGTGATTTTTTCCAACTTTCACTCGGGAGGTAACGCACTGAGTATACAGTGTTTATACGTCAGTGAAGGGCAAAACCTAATAGTGAAAATGAAAGCTGTTTATAGAATTTAGGGGGAAAAAGGAAAAATCCATAAAGATAAATGAATTTGAACTAGAGGGCTAAGAAGTTGCGAAGTATTCATGAAAATTTGCAATAAAAAGCCGTATCCTCTCTGAGTGATCCCCGTTTGATATTTGCCAGGTCTGCATCGTGACTTTGGGCGTGATCCCTGGCTGCATGGCATATGCGGGTTGAGGGCTTCTGACTAGCGCCCCTTTGACAGAGACATTGACAATTAGGGAACCGCCAACATTGGGCTGGATAGCTCAGTTGGTAGAGCACCGGAGTGATATACTGTACTTATTGAGATGTAATTGGTCAGTACGCACTGTTTGATTGATGTACTGTGGTCACCTGACCAAAGGTTGAGATCTAATTGGTCAGTGTGCACTGCTGATTGACAGAGATGACACCCACCTTGGTTCATGACCAGCTATGATCTGCTGGAATACGCCCACGCATGCCCCTCGCTTGCCTTCCCAGTATTCAGGATTGGGGTCCAATCTTTCCAGGACACCGAAAGCCTTGGTCGCATAGTAGAACTGGCCATCTACCGATAGAAAAGATGAGATTTGAGGATCGAGAGACCGTGACAATTATATTTTGAAGTCGAGCAAAAAAAATCAGAATTCCGAATGACAAACCTGAACTTTTCGATCATATCGCCACAGTGTTGACAAAGTGATGAATTTGTCCCAAATCAATATTTTTAAGCAGTTTGGGATTTTTGGCTATTCTAATATTTTATGATGCCCTCTACATGCTTACCAAAGTTTGTGACACAAAAGTGCATCCTTCATTATTCAAGCTAATGACACAAAGTCGTAAATGTGCAACAAATCTTTCTTTTTTTCTTTTTTGACGGGGGTTCGTATTCTCGTTGATTTTACACGTGAAAACAATGTTGCAATCAGACGCCACTTTTGTCTTCACACATCATCTCAATAAAGATGAGTCATTGCAAAAATGTTTCACAAACACGAATCTGCAGAAACATTTCCAATTTTGTTCAGAAATACTTGGAAAGTTTTCTTGACTCGCCATAGACTTTGTACACAACGGCTGAAGTGGCGTCTGGATATGTGCATTCTTTTTTACAAGTGTGTTATATTTAGATTGACATTTCCTCTACGATTTGGGTTTTGACGAAGTGACAAATGTGTTTTGTGAAATCGGCTGCACGTTGAGATTGAGTGACTGGATACTAATTTGGGGCAAATGCCTAAATCTTTACCAAATACACAACGGACAAAAATAGGGGATGATGTTTTACCTTGTAGCCGTCGTTGGCAATGAGCTACAGCAGGCTGAACGATTCGCCAGACGTCTCCATCTTAAGGTACAACTCCCAGGCTAGTCTGGCCTTACGATTCACGATGTCTGAACAACGAAAAACAACACAAAGAAAGGTTATAAATACATAGGATACTGCTGTAAGAAAACACATTGGGGCCCACAAAAGATGGTTCGGTTCAGTGGATGCTCGTTTCAGCCATTTTCGGCCAGCAATGCTCAATGTAACTGTGTACAATATTTGGGAGCCAAGCGGGATGTTCAATGTAGCAAATTTCTGTCGTACAATCTGCTTAAAATGTGATAGAACAAATCCAACATGGCAAGTATATGATTAACATGTGATGTTTACACGTTTAAACAAAAAAACTTTAAATCCGCTTACAAATTTTTCAAAACATTTAAACTAAACCCGAATTATACAAACGGAACCTCCGTTCACGCAATCTTCCTTGGAGATAACCACACATAGCACCAATAATTAACGTTGTTTTCAAACCTACTTAATTTACAAAACCTTAGAAGCACCGTAGTACTTGATTACATTTGGGGAACACGTAGTTACATTTTTACTTTATCAACGACTGCCTGCTATTTACTATGTCAACCATTGTTGATTTATCATGTCAATCACGCCGGTCTGCAGATCAGACATAATGGGTAGGCAAAAGCCACTGTCAATGGCTAAACGTTTAAAACGGTTCTTAAAATATTTGCTTAATGTTTACAAAATGAAACGCAAAGTCACATCCTTAATATACGATCAGGGCGATGATTGCATGCTGGTTATGTCATTGTTAGAGACCCTTCAGTCTACCTCACACATGGGCAACATGTGCATCTCCCTAATGCCACTCTGGATTTTCCAGCAGTACATGAAATGCATGCACGCGACGTGTCGTGACTTTAGTTGGACATTTGGTTGTGCAGTCACAATTGTGAGTGGTCAATACATTATGAGTTGAGGCTTAACAGGTGGATTCATTCCCATCATTAGGAACTTGGAAGTTGGAAGAGGAAACGTCATTCACAATTGACGGTAATACTCACAGCATCTTGCCAACCAGAGACACGTGTAGTCATTCTTGATCTTCTCACTCTGAATGAGCACAAAAATCTGCAAAACAAGAGAAACGAAACCCACTCCAATTAAATCATGCTAAAACCAAGTGTTGCCAACCAAAACAGTGGTCTAGGAGGCACAGAAAGATCCCCATCCGGGTTTTAGACTTGTTTTTTTATGCCTATTTGCCCTGAACAAGGCTAAAAGCCACTCCAGATATACAGGGCTACAAGTCGGAGCAAAGCAGCTAAATCAACCACACCATCTCTGCCCTCATAGGTACCCACTTATAAGCCATCAGTGTGGGGTTTGGTCAGTATCAAATGAGGGCAATAATGCTCATTGTGATTTTTGGCAAGGTATGCACCCCTCTAGTCGGAAAATATGTGACAGCATTGCAGCGGTGGCAGCTTTTTGGGTGCTATCACTTGTTTTCTTTTTTTTTTAAATGGCAGCCAAAACATGCTCGTTACCACATATAATTCATCCGGTTCAAGCATATTGACGGCAATTTTGAAAACACAAATCAAAACACTACCACCACTCACACTGCAAAGCTATCACACATTCTCCAACTCTAGATGTGCCTTTCAAAAAATCGCTATGAGCATTGCTCTTTTCGATCGTCTGGTACCGGTGGCCCATTTTTTGGACCAAAGCTGATAGCCTATTACTCCTGGGTGGGGAGAAGCAATGAGTGACAAAGTGCCTTGCCCAAGGGCACACGCACCATGATCCCAGGCTGGACTCGAACCCACAACCTGCAGCTTTACCCGCAGACCACGAATCCAACGCCCTTAACCACGAGGCCACAGCACTCCACACTCCTCTTGAATCAGGACAGATCATAGGTTGGAGGGAAATAAGCACCAGGCAAGGATTTCCAAAGAGATGCAGCACGTGGGAAAACAAGCTATTGGAATATCTTTTTGTTCTACATCTAGGTATACGGCAACAGTATATGGATGAGAACAGACAGAAAGTCGGGCTTCTCTCTCAAACAGGGCCGACCATCGGTGGAAATTGATACAAAATTCTACTTTTCTTAGAAATGACAGCACACCAGGTGCCGTGATTTCACAGGATGCTTGAGACTATTATTCCCTAACAGTCAGGTATTTCATACTAACTTGGTAGTTTGGGTTTTTGATGTTTGCAAATGAAAGGCACCATGACTAGTTCAGGCACCATGACGAGTCACTGCGCCATGACTGGCCAACTATTGAGGGCGCAACAACGAAAATTGGGTCCGGGAGTCCAACCTACCTCCTCTGCTTCCTTGTAGTTGCCTGCTGTGGCTTTGGCCTGCGCATAGTTGTAGTTGAACCTATCGTCGTTGTAGAAGTAACTCTAGAAACGTAAACACACAAAAATGTCATCTTAGTTTTTCTGATAATTTTCCCACCTGCACTACTTTTTTCCCCTAAAAAGGACAAATACAGCTAAACCATGCCACAGAAACAACTATGAGCAAGTTGGGGCGAGACTAGTGGTCGATTCCTGACGTAATTTGATGCCTGAGCACTAATATCAACATGCAAACGCCTCTACTCAGACGATGGTCAAAATTGTTCACCAAATAAAGATAATGGTCAAGAATAATTCTAAACACTTTTGGTCTTGAATAATAGAGGGTGATTGGCAATAAATATTTTCAGGTTTTTGGAGAAAAGTTCAAAAAACGAATAGTGTCTAACATTAAATGCATTAGATAAAATGACCTGAGAGCAAATATGCAGTCCTATGCCCCCTGTCTGTCTGGCCTCAACTCCATTTTCAAAGCTGTTGATGAAATAAAATGAATCAATAAACATTACTGCAACTTTCCTAAAAAATACAGCGGTGCTGTTGAAACTCCTCGGCCTGAGTTTGTTGATATAAGGTGCGAAATTACAAGCACATGTAGTAGGATAGTTAATACTGGTCAATGGAATGACCTAGACCTTGACCAATGACGTTGACCTTTGACCTTTTGACCCCCAAATCAATCCAAACTTGATTTTCCTGAAGGGCAGTCGCTGAAGTTACAAACACGAATCATATTTCTAACTCAAATTATCATCGGGAAACAATTTACCTTCAACTCACCACTGATATACTCACCCAAAAAGAAGAAAATAATTTTCTGACAATCTTCTAGTTGGGTAAAGTAGAGATATATTCATTTACTAATTAAGAATTTGCTAACTTTAAATAACTTTTTTAGGGTTAACCTGGAATTTTCCAAGATTGATGCAAGTGCGCTGTGTTAGGGAACACTAAGCTGATTTTTGGCCCAAATTTTCGGACGCCACCGTTTTTAAGTTTTGTTCAGAATTGTATGACAGTGAAATTGTTTACAGAAGTTAAATGGCAAACACTATTGAAAAAGTACCAGTAATAACTGAATGAATTCGAAGTTTATCAACAAAGAAGTTTGGCAACCGTGCATGAGGAAAGTCAGGAGAAACGTCGCAGTGCGCCACGTTAGGGAACACCACTATATGTGTGCATTGATACTGGGTTCTTAATTGGGGTAGGTGCGGTCAACTAAAAACAATAGGCCCTGGCCCTGCTGACTATATGACTATACAATCATGGAGCTATAAAAAGAGGTCTTACCCAACAATGTATGCAAAGCATTCCAAAATACTCCGGAGAGACTCCCATACCTCAGACGTCACTGACCAACAAAGACTAGGAAATGTCCTTTGACATGTTTTCTCAGTAGGCATGCCATGGTAGCAAGCAACTTTTCCCTGCTAAATCCAACATTTTTGGACATAGTATCCCTTTTAATGGTGATATAGGTCACTGTAGAGAAAAAATTAGTGATGTCCAGATAAATGGGAATCTTTGCAGAACGCCGAAAAGAAGTTGAATTTTGAGAAATAAATAGTCCAGACTTACCTGACGTACAGGCCTATATAGCCTACCGCTACATTATCTGCTGCATTAATGTTGATCGATAACCAAACAACAGGTGGTGCTCTTTACAATTAATGATGTCAGGTACGGTACAATCTCATTCAAGTGATGTTGAGCAGTACGCGTTGCCATGGTGATACGTCATCACTGTGCTCTGCATCCTGTATGTGCTCCACAGTTGACATCCTTGGTAGAACCTTCAAACTCCGTCAACTTCAAGAAACAAAGCAAAACAAGTTATTTTAACATCTTTACCTTCTAATTCATAAGGTTTAGTTCAAATATTGTTTTCATCTGCTATTTCTGGAAAAGTCATTGTTTGAAGAATTTGGTTGACAATAATTACTGTGAAATTTGAGAACAATTTCCAAAAAAATTGACAAATTTACAAAAGATAAAAATGGGGCCTGTAGGGCCTGACCATACTTCCTGAACTTAGTTTAAAACCCTTACACTTACAGTTCTGGAAGAATGACTATACAATCATGGAGCTATAAAAAGAAAGTCTCACAATGTATGCAATTAAAGCATTAATAACCCCCTAGGCCCTTTTTACTTAGAACCATCCTCATAGATCAATCCTCCAAAATTTTGCAACTCCGCCTAAATTTTTCAAAATTGTCAGACAGTCCTGCCCCAAAATGCATTCATCGTCAATCCTCCAAAATCTTCCTCATCCCAAAATTTTGCACTCGTGTTTAAATGAAGGATAACCAACGCCAAATCCTTCAAAATCATCAGACAGTCCTGCCACAAAATGCATTCATCCTCAATCCTCCAGAATCCTCTTGTGCTTCAATCACCATTCATCCTCAGTCCTCCAGAATCCTCATGTGCTTCAATCACCATTCATCCTCAATCCTCCAGAATCCTCATGTGCTTCAATCACCATTCATCCTCAATCCTCTAGAATCCTCATGTGCTTCAATCACCATTCATCCTCAATCCTCCAGAATCCTCATGTGCTTCAATCACCATTCATCCTCAATCCTCCAGAATCCTCACGTGCTTCAATCACCATTCATCCTCAATCCTCCAGAATCCTCACGTGCTTCAATCACCATTCATCCTCAGTCCTCTAGAATCCTCATGTGCTTCAATCACCATCCTCAATCCTCCAGAATCCTCATGTGCTTCAATGAAAATATGCCTGTGAAAATAGACATGCTCGGAATGTGTGAATGGAGGTGGACTCCCTATTATCGCGGTATGTGGGAATTGTGGTATTTATAATATATAATCTCAACTTTTTTTCTATAGTTAATGTTTTACCAAAACATTCCCTGAATACAGTCTGATATTTTCCCTGTAACGTTCAAGTTGATTAAACTTTGAAAGACTATATATCCCTGCAGGATGATTTCTTAAAACCCTGCCCTTCCCCGAAAGAAGAAGAAAATTACTGTGACAAGTCTACTGATTGGCGATTGGGGGCGCCATTGAGTTTACACGGTGTGCCGTTTTATTTTTTTACGCGCTGTCCTTATTTTAGTTTTTACAATTTCGCGGTGGAAATATCCTCCTTCGACTTCATTTTGTGTTTGCAGCTGTAGAAGGGGAACCAGACAATGGAACTTTCATGGACAGAGCACCATTAATGATTTATGTTAAACTATAGATGGTAGGCCTACCTTTTAGTTTAAGCAGACACGGTCATGACGGTGAGGGAAAATTTTCAGGTTTTGGAAAATGTGAATATTTATTAAAAATCGTTAAAAGTCCCGAAAAGACACAACATTTTTTAATCGGCCTTTTCAAATGACTCGGCAGGAAGTCCTTATGGCCTGGAGAACTGGATAAAAATCGCCACTTAAAGGAGTTTAGGCAACACAAAATGAGAAATTTTCCATGCCGCGATAAAGGGATGCCGTGATAAGGCCTTAAAGGGAATGTACATCATTGGCTTTTGCTGTAATTTTCGGAAATGAACTATTTGAGGGGTTAGTATAATAGATCAAATATTGTTACACTGAAGTTTTGTGTTCGAAAAGGTTGGAAAAACCAAGAAAAACAAGAATGTTCAAGTAGTCTGGTTCCCTGACTCCACAAAAGATAAAATGGATCAATTTATAGATGATGGAAAATTGCAAGGCAAGGGAACCAGTCTTAGCTGGCCTGCACCCGTTCATGAACATGTAACCAATAGCAAACAAAATTTGGACTGAAAAAAAATGGTGAATTTGGAGCCGTGGTTGAAAAATAGTTAGGTTTTTCCAACGCTGGTCGGCCGATCACCGTTGGAAATGTATACAAAAATACCATTTTCTCGAAAATGACTTCACACCAGGTGCCATAATTTTACAAGATGCTTGAGACAGTCATTTACCAACATCCTAGTAAGGTATGTCGTAAAAACTTGGTAGTTTTATTTTTCGATGTTTGCAAATGTTGTATATTCCCTTTAAGTTAAGGGAGTTAAGGGGCTCCGACTATAGTTTTTTTGGTAACAAATTTCCCTGCTAAATCCAATATTTTTGGACATTTTAAACCGGAATTGTGGCATAAATCACTGAAGGGAGAAACGAGTAATGTCCAGATATTGGAATCTTTCCAGTAGGCCTACGCCGAAAGGAAGTTGAATTTTGACAAGTAAATAGTCCAGACTTACCTGACAAAACATGCTCGGTGGACATGGCCTAGCTAGCCCCATAAATGTGGCCTATTTACTGGATTGCCTCCGTAAACATAGGCCACACATCCACAAAAAACGTGTCGACTTTGCTAAATTTTGATTTTCACATTTAGGCTTACTTTGTAGATTTTTTTGCTTTAGAAGCATTCTCACCCTCTATACAGGTTAATCAGAAGGTGCTGCCTTTTTCAGATGTTTACTTTTTGTGAAATTTCATGTTGAAATTTTGATACGCAAACGTGTGCAAATGTATCTGGAAATTTCACCAAAAATGGACATCTGAAAAAGGCAGCACTTTCGGATTAGCCTATATAGAGGGTGAGAATGCTTCTTAAGCAAAAAAACTTAAAAAGTAAGCCTAAATGTGAAAACCAAAATTTGGCAAAGTCGACACGTTTTTTGTACATGTGAATGTGTGGCCTATGTTTACGGAGGCAGTCCAGTAAATACATGAAATATGCCACATTTATGGGGCTAAGGCCTAGCCTACCGCCACATTATCGGGAAAACCAAACAACAGGTGGCGCTCTTCACAATTAACAATGTCAAATACAATCTCGTTTACGTAGTGTTGAGCGGTACGCACTGACAGGAAAGAAAGTTTCGAAGTCCGAATTTTCCCAGCATGCATTGAAAAATCCCAATTCCTTTCTCGATAGGATTTGGGGAAGTGGGTTTCGTTATCCGTTTTTCTTTTTTGCTTAGGAATTGGGAAATGGTTTCGTTATACGTTTTTTTTTGTTTAGTCACTTGACACCGTTAATTGTGAAGGGCGCCGCCTGTTGTTTGATGATATCCCATTATTGTCCGACTACACATGCATGGACTAGCGCATGCAGACAATTACATGAATTATACAACTCGATTTAAACCTGATAACGTTAGTCACGTCAAACTCTAGACTTTTTATTCACACTAATTAGGCCTAGTCAATTAGTAGGCAGAGCATTTGAAGAGTACATTTGCAAAAGCAGATAAGAGCCAATTTTACAAAATTGGAGAAAACCCACCATTCACCAACTATAAATATTTTCCCTGAACACCTACCGTACTATTAGCTGGAGTTACCCAGCCCCTGAGTTTTATCATTGGTTGACAACCCAATGATAAAACTCAGGGCTGGGTAACTCCAGCTACTACCGTATAAATGTCATGATAAAGAGTGGGTGATTTGTCTTTTTTGTGTGAACAATTTGAGAGAGATATTTTTTTAAAATGATTCTTTTGGTAGAGTATTAATTTCTTTAGTAAAGTATAGATGCTAAGAGGGGAAACATTTTGTCCCGCCTTTCATACAGGGTGAGCAGAGTACACATTTAATGGAGCTTCTGACAGACTCTCAGGAGAAATGGGTGAATGTTCAGAAGATCAAGGCATTCCCAGCCATGGTAGCAAGCCCTACGCTAAGAACCGGGGCACAGGCACTCATGCAGGTAGGCTTATGAGGGGGATCAGGGTCAGACCTGAGTATGCGTGGATAGCTCAAGTTTTCTGCATTTTGATGAGTTGTGTACCTTTTGACAACTACACACGTTCCAGACTAGCATTCAGATAAGTGCCGAACTAAATTATTCCAAAGAGTTGAATTAAGTTTGAAGTTTGAAACATTGAGGAGCAACTACACATGAAAGTCGTCCAAAGATTGAGTGTTGCAGTCGTTCAGAATGACTCCAGCGTCTAATCAATGGAACATGAATACAAGAACTTTGCCTGTGTTTGCAACTTCAATCTATTTAAGCTGAGTTTAGTTGAGTTAAGTTAGGGACTCTGGAACACCAGTTTTAAATGGATTGAGGTACTGTTTGATAACTACGGTCTTTTAAGTCGAGTCTGCTTGACGAGTGAAGCAGTCTGCGATAAGTCGAGTATGAGTTGAGCATTTTTTTGACAAGTAGACTACTTTTTACTGAGTACTACTTTATGAGTCGATTCATTTGTTTTCAATGAATCCTGAGGTTTTGTATTAGTTGAGTACCTTTTTACAAGTCTTGTGTACCTCTGGTGAATTATTTTAATGAATATTTCGATGAGTATTTTGAGTACCGAAATGTGTAAACTCACAGTTGAGTACTTGAAGAAGACTTTGCGGAATGAATTTTGATGAACTGTTTGGGTAAAATGCAAGCAGGTCTTAAAAAAATTTGTCCAGGTTTTTGCTTTTTGCAGTGCTAACGTTGGTCTTTTCCAAGACCTGGACACAATTTATTTAGAGCAAATGCATTCAAATTTTCCTTCCTGATTGGTTTCCGTCTAGATTGGTGGGTTGGGTAAGATCAAGACCAACACAATCATCAAGGAGCTCTCCAAACCCTGGATGCTGGATGAGGAAGCAGCCTGGAGACCACGGAGAAGTTTCCTTGGAAGATCAGCAAGGAAGAAGTCACCACGCTCAAAGAGAAGGTAGAATTTCCTCCTTGCGCTCAAGCACCCCCCCCCCCCAGTGAAAACTATCAACGTTGTATTTATTTTTGTGTAAGTTGGTCAGTTGTTCAGAATGATTCACACGTTAACTAATGCATGCAAAATAGCGAAAAAAAGTTCAATGACTATCACCCCACCCTATATTTTCAGGCAATAGAAATGTCAAACCCCCCAAAACAGATTTTTATACCTACCCTACCACCAAGGTGTTATTTATATGTAATAGAAAACACCACGCTTTTTGTTCTTGGTTAGCCTTATTATTTTAATATATGTTTCAGTGTCCAATTCATTCCATGGAGCCTTTCAGAGACCTCTCAGGTTACTGGATGGCTGCATGTCTTAGGAAACACATGCTTTATGTCAAAGGGAAATAATGCTCTGTATAATTTTTGTTTGGGAACCGCCCTCCGCCCCCACCTCCCACCACCCCCAGGCTTGACCCTACTCATCCCAACCTCATCTCCATGAAATCCAACTGGGAAAAATGCAAGCTGCGCGTCTTTGCCACCACGAGCAAGAAGGAGCAAATGGACAGGGAGAAGATGAACATGGCCAACATGCTCAGCAAGTTCTGCATCAACTGCTCGGATGTGGAGGTCATCCCGGACCTGAACACTAAGCCCAAGAAGTAGAGCCTGAGACGGTTCAAGGAGCTGTCCAAACCCTGGATGCTGGATGAAGAAGCAGGGGAGACTACGGAGAAGTTTCCTTGGAAGATCAGCAAGGAAGAAGTCACTACGCTCAACGAGAAGGTAGAATCTCCTTCTTGCACTCAAGCACCCCCCCCCCCCTTCCACAGAGAAAACTCTAAACAAGGGCCATTTGGGCGCCATCGTGGCTTATAAATGCTGGTACCAAATACACAATAACCAGCATGAGTGAACCAGTGAAGTGTCCCTCATTCCGGCTTCTGCATGTTTGACTATAAAGCGCCCTCTTTTGTCCATGCATGGAGACAATACACTTAAAGCTTTCCTAGTGTCCACTTTATGCTTAGTCCCTGGTTTTTGTGATTTTAAGTCCAGTCTTGCAACATCTGTTAATTGTGTCCAACCTTTGACATTCTTGTGGGTTATTTTTCAAATATTAGTATTGATCACTTTCAGTGCAAATTGAACAACCCTTAAGTAGTTCATTTTATTTGCCAAGTGGAACTCGACAAATTAAACATCAATATTCCAGTCCATTTTCCACCTAAAATCTTTGGTCTTCTTCATAATTCCCTATTAAAAAATATCCTCCTAGCCAAGATATTAAGTCTCTTCCATAAATTCCCTCTAAAAATGTCCTTTTAGCCAAGATGGTTAGTCTTCTCCATAAATCCCTTCTAAAACAAATATCCTCCTAACCATGATGGTTCCTCTCCTCCATAATTCCCTTCTAAAAAATATTCTCCTAGCCAAGATGGTTAGTCTCCTCTGTAATTCCCTTCGAAAAAAATATCCTCCTAGCCACGATGGTTAGTCTATTCCATTATTCCCTTCTAAAAAATATCCTTCTAGGCAAGATGGTTAGTCCCCTCGGTAATTCCCTCCTAAAAAAATATCCTCCAAGCCAACATGGTAGTCTCCTCCATAATTTCCTTCAAAAAAAGCACCCTCCGAGCCAAGCATGGTTTAGTCTCCTCCATAGTTCCCTTCTAAGAAAAATATCCCCCTAGCCAAGATGGTTAATCTACTCCATAATAAAAGTATCCTCATTACCAATAATTATGGTCGTCTTCTCAGTAATTCGCTTAAAACAAGTCTGAGTCTTGCGCGTAACTTTGTACACACCTGTCCCAAGTTCTTTCCACTGACTATCCCTATTGCCGAGTATGATATATGTCTATATCTTTTATAAATAGTCGTCATGCTCATTCAAAGGCATATTCATAGAAAGGTGGAAATCTCCTTGCTGCCACGGTGTCAGATTTAACGTTTGGTATACCGTGAGGTATATCTAGGTTGTGTTAACTTCAGGTTTACTCCGATCTTAACGATAACCGAGTTAACGATCATTAAATAACAATTGACTGTTTTTTCTTTTTCTGAAGGCTGGTACAAGGACAAGATTTTGCCCAAGATGGAGTTCTGTGCTGTTGGTTGGGTAAGATCAAGACCAACACAATCATCAAGGAGCTCTCCAAACCCTGGATGCTGGACGAGGAAGCAGCCTGGAGACCACGGAGAAGTTTCCTTGGAAGATCAGCAAGGAAGAAGTCACCATGCTCAAAGAGAAGGTAGAATCTCCTCCTTGGGATCAAGCACCCCCCCCCCCCACAGTGAAAACTATAAACTTTATATTTATTTTTGTGTAAGTTGGTCAGTAGTCGGCAGAATGATTCACATGTTAATTAATGCATGCAAATTAAAGAAGAGAAAAAAAAGTAAATTTTAATGACTATCATCCCACCATATATTTTTAGGCTATTGAAATGTCAAACCCCCCAAAACAGATTTTACCTACCCTACCACACAGTTGTTTTTGTATGTAGTAGAAAACACCACACTTTTGGTTCTTGGTTGGCCTGATTATTTTATTATATGTTTCAGTGTCCAATTCATTTCATGGAGCCTTTCAGAGATCTCTCAGGTTATTCTGGATGGCTGCATGTCTAAGGAAACACATGCTTTATGTCAAAGGGAAATAATGCTCAGTATAATTTTTGTTTGTGACCCC